TTAGGGTTCTGGGTTTACTTACTATACCCCCTCCGATCCATAACACAAATCAAATTTTTGTTCAATGTTAGTCATTTTAGTTTAAAGATGCAGTATGTAAGAGCTAAATTTGCCTACTGTAGGTCTTTATTTTGGCTTCAAATGTCCATGATCAACTCTCTAGACCATCAGATGGCAGAGATTTAAATGGATTAGAATGTCCTTTGATTAAAAAATTTAATGACAAAATGGATAATAAAGACTTAATCTCTTTTGTCAAGTACCATTGCTACAATAATAAACAATCTATGCTACATCTTCCAACACTCAATAACTTCGAGCAGTCTAAAATAATACTCATTATCTATATGTAAACTCTAAGACTGGAACTTTACATTTTCTGAAATGAAACTTGGAACAGAAGCCCATCAAAATATTTAACAAATTTTTGCTAGAGTAGTTGCACAGATTGTAACAAAAAATATTTAAGTAAGGTCTGTCTTAAGGAAAATCTGAATAATTGTTATCAGAAAAACAATAGATAAAATTTTAAAGACTCCCATTTTCTCTTCGTCTTTTCATTGTTTTATGATAATTAACAATAATATAAAAACAGTGTCTCATTGAAATTTGTTCATTTTAATCCCCCCAAATAACCGAAACGCACAGTTTGTGAAACAGGTCATCATAATTTTAACGCTAATTTACCCCTCTCTGTACTCCAGAAGAAATCTACCACATGTCTAAGATACTTTTAATCGGATTATGGTTGTCAAAATTTTGTAAATTTTCATGACCTTTCCTCAAATTTCGAAAAAAAATATTGGAAAAATAGTTTAAAAACATGGGTTGTATGTTTGGACATTTCGCCAACTGTTTGTTGACATGGTTCAGTGTTGATCTTAGTGACTAAATACCTAGTTACGTTTCTTGGTGGGTTTTTATTTTATGAAGGGATGATATATTTAAAAATAATACTAAAAAATTGCCTTAAGGAACAAAATTGCTGTGAGGGGGTGGTTGATTTTCTAAATATTTTTAAGCTTTTTTTTAAAAAAAAACAACCGAAAGAGATAGTTCAGGAGATTTTGTTATTAAATTGATTTATAGCAAGCTCATAAATTCAAATATGTTGTTAGAAATGCTGAAGAATTGGATTTGTTTTTGGCCCCACTATTCTATTGTAATCCACTGAATTTTTAAACCATTAGAAGTGATATCAGATTTTCTCAAGTAATCCAATCATTTTTGCCTCAATATTTCATTGGAATCACAAAAGTAAAACTGGACTTGTTTGCCATAAAAAACTCCTCACACTGATGAAGAGTGGTATTAGATGCTCTATAGAAACAAAAGAACCCCCCAAAAAACCCATTATGCAGCAGTCTTGTTAAAGAACCCACTCACCCTGAAAGAAAAACAACTTAATCAAGTTTCTAGATAGAGTAAAAGCATTGTGCAACAATTCTGACTTTTGAAACAGAAGACTGAGTTCATCAAATGTGTTTTAAATTATTAGAATTTGTTCAATTTATTTGCGGTGTTGACCTCTTGTGACACATGACCTTTAAAGACAGAGTTTTATACTGTTCTGGTATTGTCGATGAGAACAAGTGATGTTTTGTGGGAAGTGTTTTTGTGAATAAAGATGATATAGCCAATAGAATAGGGCGGTGTATTTTTTGATTCCGGATCCCAGATGGTCAGAAGATGTTGGTATGAGTTGTGTTTATGTTACAGAAGATGAGGTTGGGACCGAAAAGTAACAAAAACAATCGTTTCTATTCTCTACTCTTTCATAGATTGAAATATCGAATGCCATCACTATATCTTTCTACCGAATACCAGATCTATCTACTTGTAATTTACTGTAATTATTCCATCAAGAACAGGTACATGTATTGTTGCCTGCTTACATTAAAACCATTTCTTGTTACCTTTGTACATGTACAGTTGGGGTTGGGGTGGTATTGATCAAGGTAAAGAGGAAGGTACACCGAGGAAAAAAATCGTGGAAACATAAAGGAAAACAGAGAGAGAGAGAGAGAGAGAGAGATATTAACATCCAGTTGACAATAATTTGCTTGCAGGTAGGGGTCGAGGGGTCTTTTTAGCAGTGGGAGAAGACTGGAGGACCCAGAGAAACTCACAAGGTTGCACAGGCGTGTCACGTAAAACCAGGGAATGGAAACCACACCAGTTGACTCAATGAAGGACCGTATGATGCAGCGTGCACACGCTAACCATTCCACCATCCACCATAGGAAAGGAGATGGTAAACTAGAAACACCTATAAATAGAGCCGATTCTCAAGGAAAAATTCAAATACACATAGGGAAAGTAGAGTTTGTGCCCATGTAACAAACAGGTACACCTAGCCCTGGAAAACATAAAATACACTCAGATTAAGATGTAGCAAATGACTGGACATGCGTTTGAAATAGAACATGTGCATGTAACCTAGGAAATGAAGGGGTTACAGTTTGGAAAAGTGAAAGGTGCACAATTAACACATAGAGTAACATAACCACCATTTAGGATCAGTACTCTATATTGGTTAAATTCCATCAACCAACAAGAACACTAGCTTGTTGTATCAATTTATCACACATGCCCTTGATTGTAAATTGGAATCAAAACTGGTACAATATGTACAATATACAAACAAACTTTATCGTGGCAAGATCTGAACCCCAACACTGACCTAGTTTACAAATTAATTGTTTAAAAACTTGATCTTTGGCTAGGAGATATTTCCTGCCACCAATACTAATCTTAACAATGAAAAATACTCAACTTCCAGCTACGTTTTAATTTACTGCTAATTAGTCGCAAAACTAGCAGAAACACTTCAATTACTTCGTCTTTTCAAACTCGATTGAACTTTTGCTCAACAATGGTACATGTTTAAGATATTTTTAATATGCATTAATTGCTCTTTCAGCGAGTGTTTTTTGGTGAAACCATTGTCTGCCTAATAAAAATCATTTCTGAAACAAATGAAACGAGACGATATTTTATTCTTATTTGTTGTTACATTCATATACACTTGATGATGATGACTTAACAAGTATTGTTTTAATCTTAAAAAAACCTTGATAAATTATATGTGAAAGGTTTTGAAGATTGACAAAAAATGGTGTATTAGTTATACTGTACCTGCTTCTATTGTTTATTTTCTTCATTTTAAAAAAATATCTTTTCTCTGGAAAATTGTTGACTTGAATGTTGAACTACTGACATTAAATTTACTAAAATGGACTCATAAAAAACCTTTTATCAGTTGAATATCTTTTCCTTCTTGTTCGTATTTTTCACTGGTCGTAACTTGAGTTCATTAACTTATCAACAAGTTTAGAAATTGATGTAAAAAATCAATTTAATGAAAAGATGTCACCTCTCATTTATTGTCTAACTGGTGTTATTTTTTTTAAAATTTAATTTTTAATTAGATTGTTGTAATCTTTGCACCAGGAAAAGTAGTTTGCGCCTTTGTGGTAAAAAAAACAGAGGTGTACATGTCTAGTTTGAATTACGATTTAGCAATGATTTCGGTCGTAATTATATTTTATGAAAAACTGATTAAATTCATCCCCCTCCCCTCCCTTCCCTAATTTCTCCACTCCCATTGTTACGATTTAACGTCCTGGTTAAAAGAAATTAGAGAACATCTTTAATTTTAATCGTTTACCATGGTTAGCAGTAATGTTATTTTGTAAAAAATCTCCAAGAACCTAAATCTTAATTTATGAAAAGAGCCATATAGAGACATTTAGTTACGGAATAGAGCAATAAATTATGTATAACACAGACTTATGGAAGAACTATTACTAATTTAATTGTGTGACGTGTCGAAGAGTATTCTCTCAAAATTTTCTTTAATTGCTAGAAAGTACTCTAACAAATGTTTATGGTAAATATATAGATATGGAAGCAGTAACAACAAATCAGAAACCATGCTAAACAACAAGATTACATTTGTTACTGTACTTACTTGAAAACTGCGAGGAAATGTTCTTCAAAATGTCATCCAAATAAATTAGTAATTGTTCTTCCATAAGTATGTGTTATAGTTTCAAATTTATATAAAGGAGTCTTCATCCATGATTCTTACTTTCACATTTCGGAGATGTCAGTTTTATGAAGGTTTTTGGTAACAAATGAGTATGATAATTGTATATTTTAAGATAAAAATAATAAGGAGATTGAGACTTCTGTGAATGGGATTGCAGTCTCTGACAAAAAAAGGGATGCACATTAGCATATGTAAATATGTAATAATAGGGCTTTTCACTATTCATTTATGTTTCTGTGAACACAAGAACTTAATGTTTAGGAAAAAATTTTAAAAATGGATGCACAATATGCAAATTAACATAATGCTACAATTTGATTTTTTTTGGCAGGAGGGTTGACATTTATTCATGGTGGGTTCACAGAGAGAAAAACAAAATGGTGTACTGTCTGCATTTAATATACATTTTAATACATCTTTGAAATCTTCAGCTTGGCATAGATTCATCTTTCTGTCGACTATATAATGATATTCATAAATGTCTTTGTAGATGTTAAAAATACAAAAAGGGCAACAACAATGTTGTTTTATTCCCTGCATCCTCTGTTCTGAATGCTTTATTTAAAGAAAAACAATGTCTTCGACTGTCTTCAGAATCTTTATTGATCAAAATAACAATCTGGTCTGATCTGTTCTTCAGTCACAGCCCCAAATAATGGTGGGTTTTAGTCCGGGAGACATACTCTGTACAAATTAGACCTACTAACCCCTGAATAGCCCTAGCAGATCTTTCTGTCATCCATCCATTCATTCATTCAGATTCTACAACAAGCTATACAGCTGTTAACCACAGCTCTAGTAAACATCCCATTCATAAAGACATAGTGGGAGGAGTCTAATATTCATCATTTAGACTGCAGCTCAGTGATTGGTTGAGTGTCTGTGAGTGATTTATAGGTTTAAATCAAGGGGATGAAGATTCATTCATAAACTTAATGTAGTTGAGGTGGTTGGTTAAGGGGTTTTAATGTTAAAAGAAGAAGGATTTTGGTCAGTTTTGTTTAACTGTTTGTTTAAAATGAATTTAGAATGGAGACAGAAGTGAAGTGCAAGGAGCAGACGTGAAACTGTAACAAAGCAATAGTTGGGGTGATTTAGAACTACAAACTTTATGGCTTGAAACAAGACACAGCACACCAACGCCAAGTTTGTTATAAGATTATGTGAAAAAGTTTGCGAGATTAAAGTTTTGTTTATTTATGAAGTTGAGCTGAGTACAGTTTGAAGACAGTGCTGGAAAAAGACGATATGTAATATCGAACGATAACGAAAATATTACAATTTTCCAAGCTGTTTAATATCAGATGTTTGATTAACGCAATTCAGCAAAAGAATTAAAAAGTGCTTAAATTATTCCAGACATTAATTTGTTGATAATTTATGTTTTAAATAAGTTTTAGAATCATGTGATTTTAACAATTGGAGATTAATTTGAAACTGAAAGCTGCAGAATAATTAATATTTATAAGGTGATGAGCAGATATTTCTGACATTTGGTTTCTATATAAAGGAGCTGTGTTATTGGATTGTTTTAGTGACTGTTGGTATTATATAGTTTAACAATGGTAGAGTGAAGACATTGCATTGACACAAGTTTTACATTGTTTTGTTGTGTTTGATATTTATCGACATTTTAAATTTTTTTGCGTCTCCTCATATTCGGTTGTTGTATTTATATATCAATGAGGTCCTATCAGGGTGAGATGTTAACTGGAACTCCAAGTCCTATTCAAGGACCAGCAATGATTCTACCAAGGAATAATTTGTATACCCATTTATGGCCTCAATACGGACGAAACGGACATTCGTATCATCCATCCTGCAGAAACGGTAAGTTTCATTTTAAAGAATTAACATGCTCGAATATCATGCTAGATTGGAAGGTAACACAAGATACATTTGGTACAAAATTTACTTAAATTTAATGCATTAGATATCAAAGATTAGCTATCTTGTCTCGGATCAGCGTGGAATCGCATTCAATTTGTGATAATAGCTATAAAATCAAATATCTCCTACTAAATTTATCACCTCAGCATCATATATTTACAATTCTCATAATAAAAACTAGGTCCTTGACAACAAAAAACAATTCAGTTTCTGTGAAATAATAGAATATTCCAGACCATGGACGTCGATAATAAAAGTAAGTACCCAGTTTAAACAAAACCAAAAATGATTTCACGCTAAGAAATCTGAAGTACAATCTGCAATTAGAGAGTTTTCTATAGTTTAAAGTAGTTAAATATATCTAAATGTGAAGTATTAAAAATGGCACAAGGTCAGTGGTAAATTTGTTAAAGATATATGAATCTAAAGTATTAAACTGTTTTAAAAATGGCACATGGTTAGTGGTAAATTTGTAGAAGCTATATGAATCTGAAGTATTAAAATGAGTTAGAAATGGTGTGAGGTCAGCACTACATCTGTTTCAATGATAAGGTTTAAATGATGGGATAGGGAGGCTAGGTGCAGCTAGATACGGCAGTATACTGGAATCTTACATCATCTATAGGACTTATTGGAGCTAATTTAGCCATGGGTTAGAAATTGGGATGGTGATGGACGATGGCTGTGTAGAGAATTTATAAATATTTGTAGAGAGAGAGTGTTTCAGATCTGTTGTCAATACCTGATTGTCTGTCTGAGTATTTTATAAACAATAAAGGCACTACACAAGGTTTCTGTATTCCTGAATCGTAAAATCCTTCTACACTCTCTTACATTGGCTGGATAGGATCATAAAACATTTCTTACAATAAATTAAATCTCTGTAAGTGCTTAAAAGCTACAAAAATCGAATGCAAGAAAATGATAAAAGTTCTGTCTGTGATTAATAACAATTTGGAATTTGTGAAGATATTCTAGTTGAAGATATTCTTGTATCCGCACATGTTCAGTTTAATTAAAGTCTTTTGAGAAATCTGGTTGTCTTGGATAAAAGTTGGAATATATGATTATTTCTAAAAAATTTCTGAGTTCTTAATTCAAATGTGGTGTTTTGATTGTGTTGTAACCTTAAAATAGAAAGCCAATAAAATCAAACTTTAAACAAAGTACTTTCACGTTTCTTCTAATTTTTGGAAATAACTTTTTTTTTTAAACAAGCACATATTAGCCCAGTTTCTGCTGAAAAATATAAGACTTAAACCCCATTTCATTCATTTATTTCATTCATTTCATAATTTCCAAACTCTTGAAGAGTTTTTATTCATTGCTTCTTTCAAATGTCAGGTCGCCCCACTGTTAAAAGAAATGCAAATAATAATAATGTACCCTGCCCTCCTGAAGGCAATTTTTAAATCAAACAGTTTTAAAACTTGTTCAATTCATAAAACTCCTTCAGTTAAAACCTCACTTAAACGATCTCTATTTCTCGCTACTTCGGCTCAAATGATGTTGATTCATTTTTCTCTTAGAAGTTTTCAGTAAAACTCATAAATTAATCAAACCACTTTTAAAGTTATTTCAACTTTTTAACTGTTTTATGATCGACTTAACTCTGAAAAAAAAAAACTAATTCAGCCGGATAATTTGTTGTTAAAAGTACAGGGTTTTTCGAACCTTGTATTTTAGTTGAATCTCGCAAAATCTTATCTTGAAGAACATCAAATTGTATTTAAGATAGAATTACAGGTTCACAGTAAATCAAAAACTTCAGCATCGCACAAAATATGGCATTTTAATTAATAACCTTGATTGTACGCCCCCTAAGAATATTTATTTATTTTTTATGCTCATATTTATCTTGAATATCTAGAAAGACTTTGTGATTTATGGGTTGTAAGAAATGGTCAATTTTTGTCTTCTTTTTAGCATATCGTATATTTTAAGAAATGAATTATCCTTTCTAAAATGAGATTTTTTTATTTAAATTTTGAGTTATAGTTCTTTAAAAATGGAATATTTTTGTGGTTTCTTTAGATTTGAATTGTGAGTTTTATTGTCTGAATATTTTAACATTTATATTTGAATTTGTTATTTATTAACCAAGTGAAATATTTAAGTCTTGAATTTAATGTCGTTACTTCAGTTTATGTCAAAATTATAATGTCGTTTTGCACCACTTTCAATTCAGCTAAACCTCTTAATGAGATGTTATCCAATTTTATTATCAAGTTAAAAGTCTTTGTAGTTGAAAGTTGCTAAAATACAAATTTGTTGAATCCAAGGCAGTGAATGTACGAAAGTCAGATATACTGATGATCATTTTTTCAGACAAAATGCAATTTTTCACAGTTTAATGTACATGTACACTAATGCATGTATATACTCATTAGGATAATCCCCACTGAATTCCACTGAATAAAAATGAAGTAACCATCCAAAAGATTTTTCGAAACACAATTACATGTATAAGATGTTGCGAAATTGTCGATGCATTATATCTTTGTAAATACTAAACGGAAATGAACCATTTTTAGAGATTCAACTTTGAAAATATTGTAGTTTGCACAGGATTCAAAATCTTTCAAATGTTGATCAGCAGCTTTCACTAAATTTGAATATTTTAGTAAATAAATAAAACATATTTTAGAAGTTTTATTATTTCACAAAAATTATTCAATTTGAAAATTAATGAAATTGCTAAAAATTCCTATACTTCTATTTAGAAATACCCCCTAAGTGGCCATCCTTGAACTTTTAACTCCTTGTGTGAAAAACTTTCCTATATTTGGAAGACAAACTATTAGGAGGAAGGGGATTAATTAGAAACTTTATCAGAAAGTGATAATGACCCATTGATTTCTAATTACTTAATATAACAAGTTGCTATGATTTTGCTTGGCTTGGTCGTCAAAAACTTATAAATCTTGTGATGGTGTTAATGTTTTGTTTTTCTCGCATTGGATGTCATGGAATGCAGCTTTTAGATTGTCGTCCAATGAAATGCTTTTGTTTGAATTATGTAATGGTTACTCTGATTATGCTAAATGCTGTTGATGCTTTCTCTGTGTTGAACTTCTTAAAAAAAATTGTCAGGAAAATTTATTAGGTGAGTAGATCTTGTAAAAAAAATATAATCTGAATTGTGGGAATCAAAATGAATTGTGTAATGATGGGGATGTCGTAATCAGTGAATGGGAATGAGTTGGGATGGGAAAACAATGGATATTGTCTCCAGAACATGGTATACCCACAATTAATGAGCTGATATACCATGTAAATAACCATTGTATATGAGATATTGAATAAGATACAGGTCCATAGTTGCCCTATAACCCAATGATTGACAGGCTTAATATAAGTAATAATAGCCATGGTTTAACAGATATACCATGGTAAGTTAATGATATATATCATTATCTAGGTTGATATATGTCATATTACATGGGTGATACACATGTCTTTATAAAATCCTCACCTCAGTATCGCGCATCAGCGACTCACAGCTACCCTCCCTTTCCTTGTATCCCCTCAACCATGAAACCCCTTTATTATAAACAGACCCCTACAGGAGTGACAAGTCAACAAGCTAATTATAAGAAGAGAGAGGAAATAGACTGATTGTAAAAAGGATGAATGAAAATGAATTCAAACTTGTCAGCCATAGATATCAAAAGTGATAAATTATATTGGAAAAATGAAGTTTTAAATTCATTGTGTTTTATTACTTTGTCACAAACTGTCACTTTCAGAAAGAAGTTCATTAAACTGTTTCTTATTTAAACTTTCTAAAATATTAGGTTTACATATCACATCAATATTTCCATATGCCATATGAAATGTACATCATACATCTCATAAATAGTTCATATATTACATGAAATGTTCATCCTATATCACATCAGAAATTAACACATGTCATATTTGAAGTTCATACAGTACCACCTCATATATGAAACACCAGAAGTTCATATAACACATCAGAAGTTTATATATTATATGAGAAATTCAAATTCAATACCAGAAGTTTATATACCACATCAAAAGTCGATATACCACATCAAAATTCCATATACCACACTAAAAAGTTTTAAGTTCATACTGTAGCACCTCATATACCACACTAGAAGTTCATATATCACATCAGAAGTTCATATACCACAATAGAGTTCATACATGCATATCACATCAGAAATTCATATACCACACTTCATATAGTCGCACCTCATATACCACCTCATATACCACACTAGAAATTCACAGAAGTTCAAATATCACATCAGATGCTAGAAATTCATTTATCACACCAGAAGTTCAAATATCACATCAGATGTTCATATATCACATGAGAGGTTGATATACCACACCAGAAGTTTAAATATCACATCAGAAGTTCATATACCACACCAGAGGTTCATATGGCACACTGAAAGTTCATATATCACATCAGACGTTCATATACCACACTAAAAATTCATATATTGCATCAAAAGTTTTTATTTCACATTTCATAACAATTATTCATTTGCACAAGTCAACCACACAGGCAATTGCTATGCTCAGTGACGGGTCCAATATTTCACTAAAGTAAGCTTATATACATGTATATGAACCCACTGCCTTGCCCATATTCTATTCATTATTACTGTTATATTGTGCCGTAAATCAAGTTGTAGTCATTCTATCAAGTAGTTCTAATTGATAAATCAACTTGTCACATGGAAAATTAACATAATTTCTCCATGTAATCGTGGGATATACTTCATCTGTCAATAACCACGGTGATATGTCAATTACCCCTACTCTCGTTAGAATAGTTTCGAGTTGTAGGGGTTCAAGTGGCTCTAATCGTTGACTTAATTAATGAAGTGATTAAAAATCTTGATGACCAGCATTCTATTTCACTAATAAATATTCTTATAAATTTGTTGCTTGTCGTGAGA